TAGTTACGAGTTTCAGATATTCTTCATTTTGAAGAATTACTTGTTGAGACGAATCAGTTCATGCATGATATTAGTTCACTGACTGATGAAATATTTTTACGATTTATTTCAATGACTCTTTGTTTCTTTTATAGAAAAATCTCAATCTACACGAAGGTGCAAACGAAGCCGTGTTTTCAGTTGTTAGTAAATATCAAGGTACTTGTCAATGTGCTTGTTTTATTTACCTTTGGGATTGGTCTGATAAAATTGTCATATCGGATATTGATGGAACAATCACGAAGTAAGTAAGAACACAGAGAGAGAGACTTTCGTTATCAAAATTCACATGTTAAAAAGAAAACTAACTCTTGTGTCAATTAGTCATTCAATAAGATTCAGCAATTATTCTTGGGATGAAATGTGTGCATAAACATAGTCTAAATCTTATTTATATGCTTACTTACGCCTGTTACTCCTATTGGAGTGGAGACTTCCGGCAAAGAATGGTTTTTTTACTGGTTAGCGTTTTTTTAGCGAGTTGGATTACTACGATGTGGCGTTGCTAACCCCCTATGTAAAACCCTCCTCCTTTATCCGTGCTTGGGACCTGCAGTCACTCCAGAAGGGTTCCAGGTAGAGTTAGATTTTTGAGTCGGTCAGTTTAAATGATAATGGAATAGTTAAATATTTTATAAACAATAATCGATGCTGGATGAGATTTTTATTTGTTTTTTATTTCTGTAAATAAACAAATACTTTACGGCAGTAAATATTACTCATGATGGAGGTTTGCTTATAATTTCAACAACTAACCTCACCCGTTCATTAACTATGACTGTTCCGATTATTGAAAACTATGATATATATGTAATGGACGGCCGTTTCGTTATAGTATGGGACTCGCTCATGACCTAGCTAGTGAGACCCGACCGTAGCTGCTACCTTGACGTGGTAGTCGGGCTTGCCTATCGTGATGACCCAACTGAGCTATACTGGCTGGAACATATATTCCTGAAGGTTCTACCATGCCAGGCAGGTCGACTGGAGAACGATGAGACTAAAAGCAGCTACCCAAGGTCTGAGGGCAGAAATCCATGAAGTCATTGACAAGTGCACTGAGCCATGTCTGTAGTTGTCGACTACCTGGTTGGAGTCCGCGAGATGATAATAATCGATGGTTAGATACCCTGAATGACATGGCTCAAAACCATTTGCGATGGCGCCGGTGCATTTATTCGTTGTGTTCTCTCAAATCCTAGTCTTCTGGATTCTTCAACTCCTCTAGTTTTGACTTTCTAAACTTTTCTCATTAAATCATATTTCTTGAATATCTTCTAATCCTAACCCCTCCGATTACTGCTAATACCTTTACTACCTCTTCTACTCTATTGGATTTGAATTGACAATCATATCTCTGTGCTGATGTGGTATGGCGACATGAATTGATGTACTTACGTACGAAGTTCTACGTTGCATCTGACTGACTGACTGACTGACTAGCCAGTGAGAATTAAAACTAGGACCTTTGATCTAGCGCACGAACGCTTAACTCATTGACCACTAAACCAATATCCAGCGGTGTGAGTGCCTAACTTCAATCAATTCACGATACTGCGCGAGCATCATCGATCGTTTTTGTTAGATAGCCGCCTCACATCCTATATGCCTGAATTTCAATGTTCACTGCTTCTCATTAGAAGTCTGAGACTTTCCTCACGAAACTAGTCACTATTGAACACATGATAATTATCAGAATAAGGTTATGAAGGTTGCTGAGTTTCAGTGGGATCATGAACTTACCAATGTTAGGCCATCATAAATATCAGTTGTTGACGACAACTTCATCAAAGTACAAAGCGAACACATGACGAACTAGCGGTAAATCTGTGTGTGATTGACTTCAAACGATTATCTCATAGACCCTATGGTTCCCCCAACTCTCAGCTCAACATGACTACTCCTTATCTAGTTACCTTTTTAGATGCCTTTACAGTACGGCTATTGGTTAAATAATAACTCCTCACATAACTGTAATCTCTACCTGGAGCCGTTTTCAGGCTACTGCCTGTCCCAAGTCTGGACAAAGGTGACCCCATCTCGTAGAAAATCAAGTTGCTCAATAAAACGAAAAAATTCTAACTAGAAAAGAAATCCCAATACGCCTAACTACTATAGCACCATAAACTATTTTGTCTAATAATACGTTATTATATTATTTTTTTGGAATTACAGATCTGATTGGTTAGGTCAATTAATGCCATTAGTCGGAATGGATTGGACACATCATCATATTGTTCAATTATATAATCGAATAGCTAATAATGGTTATAAATTTATTTATTTATCATCACGTCCTATTGGTCAAGCAAGAGCCACGAGAAAATTTTTGCATACAATACAACAAGATCATTGTCGTCTACCCGATGGTCCGATACTTTTATCACCATTTTCTGTATTGGAAGCATTTCATAAGTAAGTAATTTTCAAATGAAATGGAATGGAAGGTCGTTTCATGTTGGTATGGGACTGACTCATCAGTGCTAGTGCGTACTCGCCGGACCCGAAACCAGGACCTTCGGTCTCGTGTGCGCGAACGACTAAACTCCGGATCAATGAGTCGGTATCTGACGGTGTTACTGTCTAACGTCGATTGATCCGTGGTCATGCACAACCCCATCCACTTTCTTCGGTTAGTACAGCTTCACACTCTAATAGGGTTGAACTCGGAGAAACTTACTCACAGAGCTAGTCGCTAGCGAGCACATGATAATTTGCATGAAAGGGTTGTGGATATTGTTGAGTTACTTTTTGAAATCATGAATCAGTCGATGCGAGACCACAATTATAAACCTAAAATCATTGAACCATGGTTTAAAATTGATAAATTCGTGACTTCAAAAGGTAACTCGACAATATTCACAACCCTATTTACTTACTTACTTATTTACGCCTGTTACCCCCAATGGAGCATAGGCTGCCGACCATTGTTCTCCAGCTCACTTTGTCATGGGCCTCCCTTTCCAGTTCTGTCCAATTTTTGTTCATTCTTCTCACGTCTACCTCCATTATTCTCTGTTTCCCGGTCTAGTGAGTTCTTTGGCCTTCCTTTTTTCCTTTGACCTTGATAACTCCACGTGAGGCATTGTCTTACAACGCAGTTGGGTGCTTTCCGCACTGTGTTCTATCCACTTCCACCGCTTCTTCCTGATTTCTTCCTCCCCTGGAGTCTGGTTTGTTCTCTCCCATAGTAAGTTGTTGCTGATGTTGTCTAGCCAACGAATCCGAAGTATTTTGCGTAGACAACTGTTAATGGATACTTGTATCTTCTGGATGATGCCTTTCGTAGTTCGCCAAGTTTCCGCTCCATACAGTAGAACTGTCTTGATATTTATATTGAAAATCCTGATTTTGGTGTTGATTGATATTTGTTTGGAGTTCCAGATATTTTTCAACTGTAGAAATGCAACCCTTGCTTTGCCGATCCGCACCCACACATATGCATGGGATCCACCTTTCTCGTCGATGATGCTACCCAAATGTGTAAAGGTTTTAACGTCCTCCAAGGCATCTCCATCGAGAGTGATTTGGTTGGAGCATAGAATCTTACTTTTCCCCTTTTGTATGTTGAGACCTGCTGCTGCATATTGATAAACTATCAAAACACTATTTTTTTTTCTAATGGTAGAAAAGCTGTTCAGATCAAAATATTTTGTGGTATTTCGTTATTGAGCAGTTTTTACTTCTCAAGGCGTGTTTTATTCTTAATGGAATTCACTATCGTATAATGAATGCATTCATATCAACGGTGAGATCGGAATTTATGGACGGGCTTTGAGTGGTGCCAAAGTGAGCTTGTAGACAATTCCCCTACGTACTAGTGATTAGAAGAAGATTATAAATTGGTGTGAGGAATTAGCAATCAGAATAAGAACTGAATATTAGCGTTAGGAATATTAAAGTTGGCGATTTTCATTACAAACTGACTGGAGGATAAACTCTAGTGTTGTTCGCTATTTTTACTTCGTACCTATCAACCAATCGGAATGAAGCAGACATTGTTATTTTCTCCCCAACGTTTGTACTATTCATAGTAATCAACAAGCGTCTACTTACAAAAGGTGGTGGAGAAAACATGTAGCTCAGGTGGGTGATTGTGGTGGTGTTTCGTTCTCTGAGCTGGTTATTTTGGTTGTGGAGCTTTCATTGTTCGCCATCTGAACAACATCATCAGCACTAGAACTAACACAGGAAAACTAGAAACTCAAGTATTTCGGAAGCCAACCCACACCGACGTAATTCTCAACTACGACAGTAACAACCCAAGAACCCACAAGATTAACTGCATACAAACTCTGTTCAAGAGAGCGAAGACACACTGCAGCACTTACGAAACATTAAAAAACGAGGAAAAACACCTGATGACTATCTTCCAAAAGAACGGCTATCCACGCAACTTCATCAGAAAACATCAACCGAAACCATCATCAGAAGTGAAATCAAGCACAGGAACAAATAAACGCATCATCCTGCCATACATCAAAGACATATCGGAACATACGGCACGACTACTGAAACCATTTGGAATAGGTGTGGCACACAAACCAACAGAATCACTTCAGTCAATCCTATGTAGACCAAAGGACAAAATGACAAAGGAAGGAAAACCAAATATCATCTACAAAATAAATTGCTCAACCTGTGAAAAACACTACATAGGACTAAATGGACGACCGCTTCAGCTCCGTTTACGTGAACATCAATTAGCAGTCAAACGCCACGACAACGCTTCGCTTATATCAATACATACCGACAATTATGGACATATATTCGATTCGGACAATGTGGAAATACTGGGTAGGGGGAGGACAGAGAACACTAGAGAATTTTTAGAAGCTTGGCACTCAGGTCAATCAGCAGTCAACAAACACATCGACATTGACCCAATTTATCAACCAATCAGGAAAATCATAGGTGACACAGGATCAAAAAACAGGTCAGAAGGGGGAGGCAATCAAAACAAAGTTGCAAACAACGACAGGTCAAAGGTCAACAGCAACCAATCAAGATTGAGGTTAGCAGACAAGCTACAGGTCAAACGTGGATAAATTCGAATGCTTCACTTCTTCTATCTGAAGTTTGTGCTGATGATGTTGTTCAGAAGAACAATGAAAGCTCCACAACCAAAACAACCAGCTCAGAGAACGAAACACCACCTCAACTTACAAAAGGCTATGAACAATGGAGAGTTTTATACGACAGAAATATCATTCCATTCTCCGGCGAACGTGTCACACGTAGTACAGTCAATCTGTATGAAAGAATAATTACAACACAGCAAAAGTCACATTAGTCTCAACTCTGTGATAATAACTAGTCAAGAATATGTACAACTTAGTAGCCGTTATAACTGATTGGAATAGATGACGTGACAGCACAGAGTTTATCCCCATTCTTTACTTAACCATACTGTAATTTCAGTCTTCTGGTCAGTTTGCGTTTAGCCAGGAGGTACCTTGTGTGATGGGTGTATCGTATCTGTAGAGCAGCGTGTCAGGCAGGTTATCTGTAAGAGGAAAGAACAACAGAAAAAAGTGAACTTACGGCTCACTAAGTACACAGAATGATGCACTTACGTTATAATAGAGATGTCCATAGACAGCAACCAGAAATAAAGATTCGAAACTAGAAGTTTTTATAGTAAGATGTTGAATGCATTACTATCCTATGGATGGATAAATTTCGCGCCAGAATCCCAGACTTTCTATCTCAAATGTGATTGGTTCGTTGTTCATAAATTCTAGTCTCTTCATACTACAACCTAAGTCGTTAATTGCGCTAATAAAAGAAGGTAGACATACACCTTCTTATACATACTACATCATGTATAATTTTACAGTGTAAGTAATTTGATCGCTGTCTTTTATTTGTGTCAGTGCACTTTAAACCTACCTACTGACTGGTATCAGGTTCAAGTTTAAACAACCAGACAAAGGATAATAATATTTGATCACATGATTTTCAACATTTGTGTTTTGTTAATCAAAATGAAAATATCTTTTGTTTTGCCAAAAATTTTAACTGTTTCTGTCAAATTTGTATTCAATGTTGAGTGTAAACATCATTGTACATTTAGCAATAAATTAAAACAACGTATATTATTATGATGAGTAATATAACGTCAATTAAATCAAAGAACAAGCTTCATGAGGAAATTCGTGGAGTCCTAGTGAGAAGAAGTGACTAGTGGAGTCCAACCTTGTCGGATGTATGCAGTAACTACCGAACACAATGGTTGAGGTAGCGCAAATTTCTTAGATCGATTAAGGTTAGACATTAACACCGTTGGGTGCCGGCTCAGTGGTCCAGAGCTTAGGTGTTTGAGCTGAAGACCGAAGGTTCTGGGTTCTAATCTTGTTAGTAGTAGGAGTCATGGATGAGCACTGCTGATGAGTCCTATGCCAGGACGAAATAGCCGTCTTTCAGTGCTTTCAGGTTTCTAATGTTGGTCTGAAAATGATTCATTCATGATTTCCGTAATACTGTTAGGGAACCTTTGAAAAATCAGAGCGCATCATACATTCATTTTCTTTTAAACTAAGAATTACCAACAATGATGGAGAAAATTTGTAGCTTAGGTAGATAGATGATTGTGGTGAAGTTTTGTTTTTTTTCTCAGCTGAATGTTTTGGTTGTGGAAATTTCATTGTTCTTCTAAACCACATTGTCAAACTTCCACTTGAAGTTTGCTCTGATGATGCAATTCGGAAGAATAATGAAAGTTCTAGAACTGAGACATTCTTGCTAAGATGACAAAACTCCACCACAATTTACAACAATATACTGCTGTTATAACTTTGTCCAAAATCTAACTAGTCTATAACATTTCCTCTTAATGATAAGTACAAATGATTTAGACTATCAATCATCAAAGAATCAGGTTATCTACATTTCCGATTTTATTCAATGTAGCTTGACTACAACTTCAGTAACTGCCATATTTGTCTTGATAATTTCATTTCACTGTGCAGATTTGATATGACAACTTCGATTGATGCATATATTCCCCAGTAGGTTGACCATTATTGGTAAGATTTCATACTTATTATGTAAAGGGTTGTGGAGATAATTGATTTCGATCGAAATCCTGAACTAACCAATGTTGGATTACTATTGAGACAGACAGATACAACACAGAACTTCGTACGTAAGTACATCAGTTCAGGTTGCCATGCTCCATCAGCACAGAGACGCAACTGTCAGTTCAAATTCGAGAGTGATAGCAATAATAGAAGTATTATTAGCAGTAATGGAGAAGATTAGGGAGCGAAGATATGATTCGAGAAGTATAATTCAGTAAGATAAATTTAGAAGGAGGAAGATAAAGATTATGAGGAATGCTGAAGCTTAGAATTTCATAGAACACAAATAGTGGATGCACCTGCGCCACTGCAAACGATTCTGAGCCATGTCTTTAAAGGTCTCTATTCATTGGTGACCTTCGTCCCGCGGACCCAAACCAGGTAGCCTTACATCTACCGACATGACTCAGTCCACTTTTCAGTCAGGTTCTCGATTACTATTGAGAGCCTGAAAACACTGGACGACCCTATCATCCTATAATAGGACTTATTACTAGTACTCACCTACGACCCTGCAAATGGGAATCGAACCTATGACGTTCGGTCTCGTGCATAAATGCTTAGCCTTTAGACCTTTTGTTGGGGATGTTAGATCCCCAGAACTCACTTCGAAAAGGTCCTAATTTTGGATTACTTGTTTTCGTGTATGGGCTGCTCAGTTGACCTTTAGATTACATTTCTCACTCGCAAAATTCTTGACTGTCATTGGTTGATGTATTATTTTAGTACGCCATTTTTGTAGCTCTCCCAAGAACGTTTCTATCATGTATAAATAAGCTCGATTTGTGTGCTTGTCGACCTCATGTTTTCTGGTTGCTTGCAGAATACACTTTCTACGCCTTATCAAGACTTCTTACTATAGTTATCAGGGCCGGGGACAATCGAATCAGAATAGCCTATCGTGCTACTGTATCATTTGTCTTCGCTCTCGTTTACCGACCAAGGTGAACTCGTAATAGCATTCAAGCATATCATTTGACGAGCATGTCACCTTTGGACTGACTATCCAACGGTGTTAATGCCTAGCTTCAATCAATCCACGGTCTTGTGCAACCTCATTCACTGACATTCGTAGGCACTAATTTTATGGTACAGCAATATTATCATATTTAGTCAACATAAAATGTGATATACCTTATTTTTAAACAGCATTCTTCTTACTATTATCATTATTATTATTTTCAGAGAAGTAATTGCAAAACGAGCAGATGAATATAAAATTGAATGTCTTCGTAAAGTATGCAATTTATTTACTACTACTACTACTACTACCACTACTACTACTACTAATACTACTGACAATCAATCCACTAATCATTGCCTAGACGATAAAGAATCAGACAATATTCCATTTATGGCTGGTTTTGGTAATCGTCCAACAGATATAGTCACATATAAATCTATTGGTTTACAAGATCATCAAATATTTACCATTGATTATTTAGGCAATGTAATATGCGGTGAACCAAGTCGAGAGGAAAAACTCAAAGGCAACAAAACCGCCAACATTGATTCGAATCAACAGTTAGCACTTGATAAACGAACAAACAAAGTGCGGACGTCATCCACTACCACTACTACTACTACTACTACTACGCCTGATAATGTGACAATCAATTCAGAGACCGCTGGCACAACAACAACATCATCATCACCATTGGATACCAATACTACCGCTACTACTACTACTACCAATACTACTTATATGACTACTGAACCAAATACCTCGACAGTATACTCTAATAGTGTATTAGCTAAATTGAATTTAGATTCATTGTTACAAATGGTCGATGTGTACTTCCCGCAAATGAATGATCGACTTGTATATGCTAAGAATTATTCAGATTATACATATTGGAGAATGTGAACAGAATGCCGAATTTATTGATCTGTCAATGTGTAATCATTTATTTTACTAATATTATTATTATTATTATTATTTTCTACGGTCAATTGAAAAATATCACAAATAGTGCTTTCAGAATGTGGCTGAATTTTTAAAAAGCATTTATCATGTAGATAGATATGTATTGTACACCGTGAAAAAAATATTAATAATAATAATAGTAATTATGATATTTGTCATTGAATTATTCATATATATAATACACACTCACTACTTTTTCTCTGATGTAATTTTTTCTCATTTTATTTGACCATTTGTCTACAACTACTTATTACAATGTATAAGTAGTAGTGTATGTATGTATGTATATGCTTATATGTGCAATCACCGCTTTAAAGAGCACTTAGGGTTTTCATTTTTTTTTTGAAATAATAATCAAAGAAAAGAGCAAAATGATTTTTGATACAAAAAACACTCTCTTTTTTTCATTTGAACCTAAAGAAGAAAGAAGGAAGAAGTGTATTTTTTTGATTTTGGCTTTTTTGTTCTGAAAAATAATACTAACATTTTCTTCGAAATGTTAGAGATGAATAACATGAACCATTATGTTTGCTATTTAAATAAATGTGTGATGCAATTATTTGCGTAAGCTTTCTTTTGCATTTTCTTATGACTGTTGGTCGTTGCTGATTTTATTCAATAATAGATAAATACATTTGGAATCATTAATCAATCATTGTTAGACCACAATTAGAAACCTGGAAGCACTGGACGGCCGTTTCGTCCTAGTATGGGACTCATCAGTGGCAGTGCGCAACCACGACTCCTGCACCTCGCGGGATTTGAACCCGGGACCTTCAGGCTTTGTAAGCGATAGATAAATACGCGGAGTTCGTTAGACTCGTTGATCTATTGATGTTTTCTGGAACAATAAAGTAATAAAATAAACTTTTCGCCAGAACTCATCAATATCATTATTTTTCATGCTAGAGTTATGGAGATTGTGGTTTTTTTTACGTTGAAATCATGAATTAGTCAGTATTAAGCCATCCTAGAAAACCTGGACGGCCGTTTCGTCCTGGTACGGGATTCATCAGCCGTGCGCATCTACAACTACTGCTACTCTCAGGAATCGAACCCAGGACCTTCAATGTTGATTTTGAACGCCTAATCTCTGAACCACCAAGCTGGCATCCAACAGTGCTAAATGTCTAATTTATGCGACCTCAATCATACCAAAATGAAACGTCAGTCCGTTGCTTCCAGGTTTCTAATGGTTATCGAACAATGACTGATTCATGATTTCAGTGATATCATATGTGGAGTTCGTCACTAGTTATGCTTGAAGCTATTACGAGTTCGCCTAAGTAGATAAACGCGAACGAGACAATTACCAGCGTCCAGATAGGCTACCTTGAATCCCAAGCTGAAGACAAAAGGCTTTGTAAGCGTAGAAAGTATATTCTACAAACACCCAGCAAGCACAATACAATCAAGCACACAAATCTCGTTTATTTATACATCATAGAAACGTCCTTGGGACAGTCACAAAAATAGCACACTTAAATACACAGCAGCCAATCACAAACAAGGATTTTCCTGGTGGGAAATGAAATCTCAAGGTCAGCTGATCAGCCCATGCTGGCAAACGTGAAATCCAAAATAAGGCATTTATCAAGCGAATTTTGGGGATCTAACATCCCCAACATCGTAATTGCAAAATATTCAGCATATTTTCTATGATCAGAGTTTATCAAAATTCATCATGTATGATGAAAAATTTAATCGGATAAATACAATGCAAAAAGACGCATATTCTATCAATTTATTTACATATACAAACATAATATATAATAAATTTGGCGGGAGTAACTATGACTCTCTTAAGGTAGCCAAATGCCTCGTCATCTAATTGAATGGGTATATTAGGTGATGCGCTTATATGGAGTTTTCGGGGGATTGTGGTGGCAGCCACCTCTTTGTGATCCTACCAGGCAATGTGGCGTTTTTTACAGGACTGCGGCTAGAAGCCGTTCCAAACGCTTGGGATACTGTGCCTAGTATGGTCCAGAATAATGGTACGTGTTTATGGTCACACGGCCGTGGATGCGGTTTGCCACTCTGGGGGATTAGGACTGAACGCCTCTAAGTATGAATCCCGTCCATTGAGAGTAGGTAAATTTGAAATAATGGGATATAGCTTTCCAGGATACTTGAGGCGGCCCTAGACGATTTGTTTGGGAAGCAGCCCGAAAGATCCTGGACTATTGATGCCAACCCTATGTGGTTGTGCCAAACACTCTGCATCTCAGTGTATTATGTCAACTGGAGTCTAGGCCCCTTAAACAAGGTTTTCGAGTTGGGTTATGTGATCCGGTGCTAAAAGGTACTGGACGCCAATAATGTCTGCCCTGATAGACTGAGTGCTTGCTCTTGGTTGAGTCCATGATATCTACCCAATGGGAGGGTGTACGTTCTCGCTGATGTTGTGGGACAAACTTGATCTTTAGCTTTATGTAAGGTCTGAGGGCTCCGGTCGATTGTATCAGCACAAGTCAGAGTTGGAGGCCAGACGGTTGGAACGGCTGCTGGTTGGCTCGGTAATCCGTTCAGGGTGCCAGGTCCAGCTTAGTAGGCCCGCCCTGCCGCCCTCGCCGATTGGGGATTGTGAATAGTGTCATAGAAATAAATCAAAGTATAGCTTTTACAAATGTATACTTTTCTCTAGAATAATAACGAAGTAATAAAAGAGTGTGTACAAACTATATCACAGACTAATTTTTCAATTATGTGTTTTTGAAAATCCAAAGTAGCCAGCCATTCAACATTCAAAAATAAATGAAATATTTGTGTTATTCCAGTTTTTCTGACATTTCATGACTCGTTAAAAGTCCACTTCATCAGAAAAATATAAATAAACCAATTAGATTAAACCAAGTTTAAATAATACAACAAATTGACAAGTTAAAACGAACTATTTAGTACAATCTGTCAAACAAAAAAAAAGGAAAACTCTGACTAGGTAAATGTCATACCAATCAGCATGGGTTTATGCACTTTTTGTTAACAGCGACTTGTTACTTTACCGAAATTGTGCCAACTGCCTACATAATAATTTTTATTATTATTATTGACAGATTTAACATGTCGATTTCTGACAGTGTGATTGATTTAGTTTTAATCAAAAATGTCTACATTTATACAATGTGATATCCTAATTATATGATTCTTTAGAAATTCTTTACTATTCAAATTTCTGTTCGATCGATGTTGTATTTTACGGTTTAACAATTAATTCTCTGTAATATGCATTACTTACTAACTAACATACCTATTTACTTATTATGCCTGTCTGGACTTCGTAGATGACCTGGCTCTTCTTATCGCACACGCAACAACAAATGCAACAGAAGACGACCAGTGTAGCAGCAGCCTCTGCAGCAGCAGTAGCAGGTCTCAACATACATATAGGGAAAAGCAAGTATCTGCGAGACAACACAACTTGCACCAACCAAATCACTCTTGATGGAGATGCCTTGGAGGACGTTAACACCTTTACATATCTGGGCAGCATCATCGACAATCAAGGTGGATCCGATGCAGATGTGAGGGCGCGGATTGGCAAAGCAAGGGCTGCATTTCTACAGTTGAAAAATATCTGGAACTCCAAACAACTTTCAACCAAAACCAAAATCAGGATTTTCAATACAAATGTAAAGATAGTTCTACTGTATGGAGCAGAAACTTAGAGAACTACGAAAGGCATCATCCAGAAGATACAAGTGTTTATGAACAGTTGTCTACGCAAAATACTTCGTATTCGTTGGCCAGACACCATCAGCAACAACCTACTGTGGGAGAGAACAAACCAGATTCCAGTGGAGGAGGAAATCAGGAAGAAGTGGTGGAAGTGGATAGGACACACACTACGAAAAGCACCTAACTGCATCACGAAACAAGCCCTTACATGGAACCCTCAAGGCAAAAGGAAAAGAGGAAGGCCAAGGAAAACATTACGCCAAGAAATAGAGAAAGATATGAGAGGAATGAACAAACATTGGACAGAACTGGAAAGGGAAGCCCAGGACAGAGTTGGTTGGAGAAAACTGGTGGGCGGCCTATGCTCCATTGAGGGTAACAGGCGTAATTAAGTAAGTAAGTACGTATACGAGGAATGATCAGACTTGGCGCAACTTCATATTCAAACAGTGCTGTGGTCTGAGCTAACCTGCAAATGCAAGTATGGTATTTAACTGAACTAAATTTTCGATCACAGCATCACAGTAGACTGTACTCATATTGAAAGTGGTCTAGTTGCACATTACCGAAGAATTTTAGTTAAGAAACTAATGAAAGCCAGAAAGCAGGAAGTAACGGTTTCTGATTGAACTTCTTACCAATAACCATCTACAACTTCACGAGGTATATTTAACTAAGTACCTTCTGGTCTAGTGGTAGGCACTTAATCTTTAAATTGTTTAGTGGTTTTCATTCGAAACTTTATTCAGTCAGTGAGTGATATTGCACAACCATGCTCTAATGGTAGATAAAGGAGTCACAACCAACGTGAATGAACTTTATTATCTAAAGCTTAAGCGCTCAAAACACAACTTGAAGATCTTTGGTTCGATCCCTAACGTCACCTATATTAAGGCGAAACAATTGTTTATTGATTTCAGGTTATTGGTGGTTGTCTATCCAGTATGAATATGTGTTAAAGTTTATAACATTCGATAATCTCCACAAACCTCTTTATACAAATAATACATGTTTACATTAACAAGTTCCTCGGCTCGTTTCTCCAAACGAAATATCTAGTAATCCAGGTTCGTAAATGTGAAAATACTGTTAAGTAATGATTTAGCTTGTCATTATTCAATGATAATCATAGTATTATTAGTGAAACGTTTATTAAACCTACTCTAAAGTACTTGAATTACAGCTTATGGATATAGCTGTGATGTTTAGTCTAAGAAACATGTATACCAGCTAATGACAGAACATGAGCGAAATTATCAATT